GCGTACTCTGTTACAGATCTTACACATGATGTGTAGAAAAGTACTAGGTCTTGTAAGGGAACCCTAGCTCTCTTTAGTTGTACTAAAAAATATAACCTCTTACTGGCCTTTTTGATTACTTGTAGTTATTTAAATTGTAACATAACGCGGCGACACCAGTGATAATCCAAAAAATGGTCACGATGACATGTATGCGCTTTAAAGTTACAATCTGCCCGTCTCTCAGCCCCGTGAACAGGGTGAGAAGTCTGTCCACGCTTATAGGGCAACGTTAACACACGCTGATCATGCATAACCTGTTACAAAGCTTGCAAGGTATGTGTATCGAGAATGAACTAAAAGACCAACCAACAGATCAACGTTGTTGCTTGACATCGATAAAATAGTTCGGACGGCGGATGAAGGGAAGATTCCTTGCGAAGGGCAACAAGCATGAGAAAATGCCCAAGAAATGCTCTGAGGGAGAAAATTATTTTGAGAAGTGAAAGACTATATGCGTTTTTTTGCACTCCGCCTGCGAAAAACGGGAAACACACTAATTGCCGAAATATTTTTGTGTGTATTCTACCTCCGGTTAAATTTGTCGACATTATTCTGCCTGTAATAAGCTCTTATTTCTTTTTACTGTAGGTTTTCTGTGATTACATTAAGAGATATTTCGTACCAACCACACCTGCCCAGTAAACCTTTCTTAATCAAAATTATTTGAATAAAGCCGGACATTCTTAGTGGCGCCTAATCATTTGAAATGCGTGAACGCACCATCAGTTGTCTAAAAGAGCTTCAATTTTATGCTTAAGCCTTTAATTGTTTATCACATAGGAAAGGAAACACTTCTTCAACGGAAAGCAATTTCTCAAACATTTATTGACTCAATACGTTAAAAGGTAATGGATAGTGGCGAAAGCTTTGGAACGGCGCCATTAGTCAGAATGGGAGCACATATTGATCAAGGTTATAGGCTTCTGTTCAGAAAACTTGAGAGGCTTTAATCCTTTAAGTGCTTAATTAGCCACAGAGCGTAATATAATAAGGTCATGTCCAACGTTGGCTATTTTCTTGACAAACAGCAGTTTATATTTAAGTAAAACAATGATGCTCGCAGGTGAGCTGCGTTTTAAGCAATTGCAGAAAGAGTAATTTATTTTATTTATATTTATGAGTTTATCTTTACTTTGTAGAAATTAATTCAAGTGCAAATTGGTTTAAAGAGTCGGTTCCTTCTCATGGCAAACATAAGGCATCGGTGATTTCGTTATTTGAGCGCATGATACGAAAACTACATTTCTTACAATGATTTCACAGATAAGTGTTTGGCAATTGGGTGTTCATCAGTTGTAAGGAAATCAGTAAATCAATAGTTTTGTCTTTACTCACCTTACAATGGTAGCCAGTACATTTTCTTTTGAAGTCTTTACTCTCGTTATCCGATCACATATATATTCGTTCCCTCTTAACCTACAGTACTTTCAGAAACAAGGATTAAAAGAATCAATCATGATGTATAACTTGAACAGGATTGGCTCTACGGACAGCAAAGGGCTTGTCTGATTGTCTGCTTTACTGCTTGTCTAACTTCGCTAATCTTCCAGCAGTAGAGACACGGGTTTAAAGTTGAGTTAAAGGAGACAAAGAGCATTTTAGTGCCCCACAGACGGCTGAATTTGTTGGGGATAATTTGTTAAAAGTGATCAAAATTACCACTATGCAGTAAGGTAGATAACAGGCAATTAAAGCTAACTGCACCGAAAGTGCACTGTACACTGCCTTTCTGTATCGCGCGAGGTTAAGTGCATTTGGTTGGGCCAGATTTTGCTGAGCATAATCTTGTATTTGAGTGTGATGATGACGAAGCGCTCTAAAAATCTTGTGTATGAAGCCAATGAGATTATTGAGCAAGATGTTATGACTGCAAAGCCGTACCAAAATGTTATGTGGTAATTTAAGATACGGAATATGGCAACGACACCGGACGTAATCCAAAAAGTAATTAAAACGACATATATGCGCTTTACAGTTACGGTTTGTCTGTATGTCAACCCTAAAAACAGGGCGAGAAGCCTGTCCACGCTTATTGCCGTCATCGTGAACAAAGACACTGAAGATAACGCATAGCGTGATTGGACGTTTGCTTGGTATGTCCATCGACAATGACCCCTAAAGTCTTTGTAAATGTAGGACATCCAATGGATGGCAGCCAAAGGATGGAAGACAAGACCAGCCAACAGATCTGTTGTTGCCAGACAACGATAAAAGATTTTGGACGGCGGATGAAGAGATGATTCCTTTTGAAGGGCAACAAGGATAAGAGAATTTCCAAGAAATGCTGTGATGGAAAACAGAATGTGGATTGGTGACATATAATATGCGTGCTGTTGTATTCCACTTGCCATAGACCGGGAGCATGCCAGTTCTTGAATGATTTTTGTTGGTGTTCCACCCCCTGTTAAATGTGTTGTCGCCATCTTCTCCCTACTGATCTGAAAGAGCACTTTTCTTTTTCGATAGCGTTCTCTAACTTCTATTAAAACCAGCTGAACGTACCGCCTACTGTGTAACAATCAGTTTTCTTTTGCGTGGGTTTACCTTGCATTTGCTATCACCGAAGAGAGGAAACATCTTTACAACGGTAAGTAAATGTTTTGACATTTGCTTTGACTTTGTGCGTTAAAAGGTTAGCTGAATAGTTCCAGAATTGTAAATTTTATGGTAATCCGACTAACGCTATTAAAAATGCATAATTCAAAGTGCTTTATTGAACACCGAATTAAAGAAATCTCGAGACTCTCTGCCGGAACCATTTCTTTCTATTTTTTTGGACACGATTACCTTAAAGAGTGACATACTTATGCAACAACGGTGTGGACTATAGCCAGCTGTTAATCTTGGTCGTTGTTACTTGAATCAAGTGCGAATTGAGCATCAAGAGTTAATTACAAATTCAAAACTTACAGATATCAGTGGTCTAGTTCTTTGACAGCAGGATGGGAAACTGTCTTTATCTTCATTTTGAATAATGAAAAAGGTATTTTCGAAAGCTTTCATTTTATGACGGCTGACTCGTAAACAGTATTCCCACATATTAGGAAATTGTGAATTTAATTTTTTCCTTTCTGTAAAGTTGTTTGAGATGAATAAATAAAAGATTAAAGTTAAAATTCTGTGTTTTAGACGATATATGCCTAACAATTTTTGCCTTTTCACTTACACGAACAGCTCGAGCACTCTAATGCAATCTACGGGTACAAAAACAAAATTTCACAACAGCCAATCAGAGGAAAGGAGAATATATACCAACGAGCCAAAGCCTTTGAAAATCTTGCAAGCTACATTAAGCGCGGGGAAACTACACGTGATTGAGTCGCGATTGGTTTTAGTTTTGAGTTTGATTGGTCGAGAGGATGGTGAATGTTGCATTCCCGGCGGAGCCGGCAGGTGGTGTTGTCCACCGGAGTATGCCAGTTAAACCAGAGTGATATCGGTAATTAGATTTAAAATGACTTTATTTAATTAGCGTTGCCGCTAGTACATCATTCATAGCGAAGAATCTGATCTTTGCTCTGGTTGCTTAAAAAAGAAGAAAATTCTTAGATTCTTCGATGTCTCTCGATTCTTAGATTCTTCTGATGACTCCAGCAACTCCTACACCACGTGACACCCAAACTAAAAGCACAAG